GCCATAACTTCTATTAGTTCTTTTGTTTCTTTGTTAAGTTTCTGTCTGGTGTTCCTGTCCAGTGGTGAGAGTTGGGTGTTGAAATCTTCCACTCTAAGTGTGTGTGGTTTTATGTGTGATTTGAGTTTTGGTAAAGTTTCTTTTACAAACGTGGATGCCTTTGTATTTGGGGCATAAATGTTCAGAATTGAAACTTCATCCTGATGGATTTCTCCTGTGATGAATAGGAAATGACCTTCTTGGTCTCTTTTGACTGATTTTTGTTTAAAGTCCAATGTATTGGATATTAGGATTGCTACCCCTGCTTGTTTCTTGGGTCCATTTGATCTTTCCCCAACCTTTAATTCTTAGGTATCGTCTGTCTTTGAGGTTGAGGTGAGTTTCTTGTATGCAGCAGAAGGAAGGATTCTGTCTTCTTATCCATTCTGCTAATCTGTGTCTTTTTATAGGGGAGTTGAGACCATTAATGTTGATGGATATTAATGACCATTGATTATTGTTCATTCTTGTTTGTTTTTGATTTGGTGATGGTGGTAAGATTATGTGTAGGATTCTATCCTTTTTTCTTTTGACGGTTGGTAAATTGGGATTATCTATTGCCTATGTTTTTCTTGTTGTAGTTAGCTTTCCTGGGTTGCAGTTTGCCTTCCAGTACTTTCTGTAGGGCTGGATTGATGGATATGTATTGTTTGAATCTGGTTTTGTCATGTAATACTTTGTTTTCTCCATCTATAATGATTGAAAGCTTTGCTGGGTATATAGTAGATTATTATGTGGCGAGGCGAGGTGACCTTTTTTTTTTGTTCAGTCTATTTGTTGTTCTGTAGGCTTTTTGTAGTTTCATTGGCATGTCTTTCTTTAGGTTGGGAAAATTTTCTTCTATGATTTTGTTGAATATGTTTTCTGCGCCTTTGAGTTGGATTTCTTCACCTTCTTCTATACCTATTATTCTTAGGTTTGGTCTTTTCACAGTATCCCATATTTCCTGGATATTTTGTGTTAGGGATTTGTTGGACTTAAGATTTTCTTTAGTTGATGAATCTATTTCTGCCAGTGTGTCTTCAAATACTGAGATTCTGTCTTCCATCTCTTGTATTCTGTTGTTTATGCTTACATCTGTAGTTCCTGATCATTTACCCAGCTTTTCTATTTCCAACATTCCCTCAGATTGTGCTTTCTTTATTTTCTCTATTTCAGTTTTTAGGTCTTGATCTGTTTCTTGTATTTTTTGATTTGTTTTGTCTACAATTTCTTTAAGGGATTTTCTCATGCCCTCTTTGAGGTCCTCTATCATTTTCCTGAAGATGTTTTTAAGGTCATTGTCTTCTGGTTCATCTGCATCATGATGTTGAGGTCTTACTTGTGTATGGTTCCTAGTCTCCAGTGGTGTCATATTGGGTTTTCTGTTGTTGGATGTGCTTTTACCTTGTCCTCCTCTCATCCTTTCTTCTGGTGGGTGTAGCAAGTGTTTCTTGTTCTCCTGGTGGGTGTGGTTCCCTTCTGGTAGATGCAAACAGATCCAATATTCTGATGTTGATCCTCTTCTCGTGGATAGAGGTGTCACTGTTACCCGGGTTTCGGCAGTGTTCGGGGGTGTCGAGTCCTGCTGGGCTGGCAGTTGGAGGCAGAGCTGTCACCGGGCCTCGGGGTGTCGGATCCCGCTGATGCATGCGGGTTGCTTATGTCAGATGACTCAGAGCAGAGACGATGAGCAGGAGCCAGAAATAGCCCCTGGCCTACTCAGGCTGGTGGATTGAGGCCAGGCTGCCTCTGGCTGTGTGGTGTTCAGAACCGCCAGCGAACTGGGTCTGGCACGTTGGTCCTTTGCATCAGATGACTCTGAGCAGCGATGACGAACCAGAATTGGAAACAGTTCCTGGCCTACCTGGACCAGCGGATGGAGGCCGGGCTGCCTCTGGGTCTACTAAGATCAGCACTGTTAATGTGACCAGTAGAAGCCAGACATGATGAGTCACAAAGCAGAGTGTTTCCAGGCATTGGTGTGCACACCTTTAATCCCAGCACTCTTCAGGCAGAGACAGGCAGATCTCTGTGAGTTTGAGACCAACCTAGTCTGCAAGAGCTAGTTCCAGGACACCCCCAAAGCCACAGAGACCAAAAAAAAAGTAAAACAACAACAACAACAACAACAACAACAACAACAACAAAAAGACCTGTGCAAAGCCAGCCCCAGCCCCAGAGACCTTAGAATGCAGTCATTCATCCTTGGACCACACCACTGTGGAGATCTACTTCCTTTCAAATAAACTTATGTATATGCTAGGGCACTAGGTGACAGAATTATTCCTGTATCAAATGTGGCTAAAAGTATTATTTTTTCCATCTTGGTCATGCTGGACATAGAATGGGATCAGTGCCTATCTGTGACTACACCTAAATCAAAAATCTGACTCTCAGATCACTGAGTACAGGAATGTCTGTCATCCCCATGTTTTCTCCACACCCATTCCTCTATTTGTTGTTATGCCCAGTTGTCATTTTCCTTCTTGATTTACTGTGAGTTTCCATTCCATATCTTATATCTTATATCTTATATCTTATATCTTATATCTTATATTCCCTATGTTCCATTCTTTGCTCCATGAGGAAGTTAGCTCTGGTTCTCATAGAAATATCTTTTATCTCTTACTGTGTCTACAAGTCAGAGCTTTCCTGCCTTGAGTCCCAGATCTTGCCTCTAAATATTAACATTGTCTGAGAAATAATTCGATGTATCATATGGATCAAAAATGGCAAACAATTTGCATTATTATTCTGTTTTGGTAAGTTTATGTCAACTGACAATCTTTGGGGAAGAAGTTCTAAAATGGGCTTACTGTCTATCTTTTTCAGAAGTTTATTATTGTTATAGTTTTTTTTTGGTTTTCTGAGACAGGGTTTCTCTGTGTAGCTTTGGAGCCTATCCTGGCACTCCCTCTGGAGACCAGGCTGGCCTCGAACTCACAGAGATCCACCTGCTTCTGCCTCCCGAGTGCTGGGATTAAAGGCGTGCGCTACCAACGCCCGGCCTGTTATAGATTTAAAACAATTTTATTGATGTTCAATTGGTATACAATATATACCCATGTTAGAGAGAAAACGTGGCAAGTGTATACACATATAATTTACATAAAATGCTCATTTTGAGTATGTGTGCATTTATATATATTCATATATATATTATTTAACAAAATGAATATTTAGCTTGTCTCTATTACCCTGTATATTCATCAAAAAGCTTGGATCCAGTCATATGCTTTGTGTCTTAACACTCCATCCCATCATTTCAGAATTAGGCACTTACACTCCAAAGTTACCAACTTCAGATACCTGACACAGCTGTATGCTTGTGTGTACATGTTCTTGATCCGTTCCAGTTTCTGTGCAGGACATCATTACACAGCTATACTATAGATTCTTTGTTACTTTACACACATCTGGGTTATCTCAACCATGAGTAATTCAGCCTTGTATTAATATTTCCATGTGTTACTTCATGAACATACTTGAGCAACATGATAAGCCATATGAAAGAGTGATACAAATGCTAAAATGGACTGTTTTTGAGATGCTTGCCTAGCTGGAGTCATTTCATTGCACTCTGAAAAGCATAATCTGGGCATCGTCACCATGATTTGGGCTCAGGACACTGCACTCATGCACTCATGAACATCCCTGGATATTCTCAGGGAGTAAACCTTTTGGTTTAGAATGGACCCTCTTCTGAGGTGGGCCACTGTGGAAGGTATTGTAGTTCCAGTAGAAGAGACAGCAGAAATATAGAGAAGAAAGGAGAAGACAGGAGCAGAGAAAGGAAGGGAATAGTGTTGAGGGAAGGAAAGACTTTAAAACTAAAAAATGAGTAGGTGGAGGACTTATCTATAACTGTGAAATGAGTCCAGCTGCAGAAGGCAGGATCCAAGGTTAAAGACAGTTAGCTTAAGGAAATATCCACTGTGCCTCCAGGCAAACGGTAAAAATCATTGTAGAGAAACGGAGTTACAGAAATGAAAGCCCTTGTCTGCATTGTGCAGTCTCATAAAATCTGTGGGAAATGTATTCTAAGAGACAGTCTGCAGAATTCTTTTGTCTTGTAGGGGGAAATTATTTTGAGTCAGCACTGTGAAGGGCTCTATGACCCCTCTCATAGGTGGGGTCACTTACTCATCCAAGATCTCCATAGAGGAGGGAACCTGCTGTTAGTATATAGAGGAATATAAGCAGGACAGCTGCAGAGTCCTGCTAGAAGCCCAGAAAAATCAAAGCGGCTGTTGCCTGCATAGGAAAGATGCACTCGCTCTCTGTAGTTCTGAGACATAGGAAGGCCAGAGGGAGTGTGGTCCACAAACCAAACTCACTGGTTGTTAGGGAATCTATATGTATAAGACTATATATAGAAGAAGCTAGATGACACAAAAGCACCTCTTTGGGTGGCAATAACCTAAATAACAAAAAGCAAGGCTTGGTAGATTCCACCTCTCCATACCTGCTCACACAAATGAATCACTTGTGGGTGAAAAGCCTCTCACACCCTTTATTTGATAACCACAAACTCAACAAACCTCTATATAATTACAATAGGTATTTTGAACATGGGCTGTGAAGTTTCACATTATATTTTACATTCTTTTTATCAAATAATTTTTATAGTTATCCACTACAAAAAACAAAATTTCCCCAGCAGAATTAGAGCTAGAAAACACTAACCTTATATCCATTTTCAATATTCAAGACCACTACATAAATTAAGTACTCCCACATCTCCTTCAATTATCCTTTCTTATTTTTCTTTCCTTCATGTTATACTACAACCATATGTATGTTTCTTTATGTAAATACATATGTTATTGGCTAGAATCTACATATGAGCAAAACATGACATTGTGAGACTTTTGCTAGCATGCACATTCTAAGTAAGTGCATTTTCCTGCATGTTGCAAACTTCATTTTTCTTTAGAGATAAATAGTAATTGTTTGTGTAACTAAAGTATATATCTGCATTTTAAATCACATAGCAATGCAGTAATATGATAGCTGTCATTCTTCTGTAGATGAGTTAACACTTTATTATTCCTGGATATTTTCATAATGGTCTCAACGATTTTTTTTTCAGGATGTGACAACCTTTACAGAAGATAAAATATAAAAAGGATGCATTTCATATTGAGACATCAGAGTCTGGATATGTGTGTTCAGACAGTGATCTGGTGAGTAGTAGACTCTAATTGGATTCAGAGGTTTCTGGAATATGGTAACTAACAGGGGGCGCTGTGGGACTGTTGTGTGACATCACTTCCTCTCACACAAAGAACCTGGCCATTGAGCTCACCCTGTGCTCACCACGGAGACTCAGCAGTGGTGTCTTCTGTCCTGGCAGAGTTCAGGGACAAAGGGGCTTGGTCTTAGCTAGTGTTTCTTCCCAGGACTCTCTCACTATTGAAATCCTAACTATCTCTCCCTTAGTCTGTTATGTGAGCAGAGCTCCTGCAGCAGACTTCACAAAGAGCCTTGGCAGTCTCAGTGGAAACATACCTGAAGGAACAGGAACTTATCTGCAGAGGCGGGAATGGAGACCTGGGGCAACCTAGACTCCCTGTGGAGATCAGTGGTCTATGTTCACTTATTTTCTTTTGAATGACTTCTTTCTTCCTGCAGAAGTAGTGACAGGCCTATGAGCTATGTTGTCACCCTGGCTATATCTGCCTCTTAAGCTCAGATCACTATAACACTTTACTACAGCTCCACACCTATCATCTGTTAGTATTTATTATTTACAGTAACATTTCCCACCATCCTGCCCTCTTTCTGCTTACTTTGTTGATTTACCTACACCTTGCACATGAAAATCAGTTCCCTTTTCCCTAAATCACAATGATGCAAAAAGTCAGATATCCATCCCTCATAAATACTTGACAACCCCTCAAAATCACCTAAGATTGAGTCTGTAAGAAACATTAAATTCTCAAATGTTAAACAAACCTCGTCTTTCTGTCTTTTCCATCACCACCAAGCAGCTGATTTCTCAATCCACAAATGTCCCTTTCAAAAAGCCCAATTATCTTTAAATTTTAGAAGTGTTTGCCCAGCCAGATATGAGCAACTTCACTTCTGTGTTTAAATAATGACAAGAAAAATGTAATTATCCACCCAATTACTTCTCCACTTCAGCATGGTTCACAAGCTTTTCTAGGTTGACTGCATGCATGCTTTCCCTGCCTGTTCACCTTCATCAGAGAAATATTATCAGTGATCACTCCCTTAGTACACATCACCACCTTCCCTGTAGTTTTCCTTTCATGTGTCTGAAATATAAGGTGAAGAAAATACAGCAGATCAGACATATTGGACAACTGTGAAAGATGATGGTTGCTCTGGGACTTAAAGGAGTTTGCTGAGTCTCTCTCTGGAGTTTCTACAGGACAGGTGCTCACAAGTGGTAACCTAACAGACATGGGTCCTGATAAGTGAGTCCTCTGTTTTTTTGTGAGGAATCCGAAACTGTGTTATTGTGGCTCTGGAAGAGTTCCACCTGCTTTATATTCCAGTAAACAAATAATTGACATCAACTGGCTTGCTGGTGTAGGAACTCAAAATATGAATCACCCAATGTGAGGAGTTAGTGAGATCTCATTTGCATGTTTATCTCCTCTTTATTTGTGAGGTCCCTGGCAATGAATAATGAAACAGCCCAAACAGAAGATTCTGGTCTAAAAAGAAGCTGTGCTGTGCCTACAATGGGTTGGACTCCTGGCATCTTCCTGATTCTCTCTTACTTGACAGGTAGGGACAGGCTGAAGAGTTTACAGAGGTCTCCTACAATGAGTCAGTCCCTCTGGTTAAAACACCCAAGAATGTGCACCTAAGCTATGCTTCTCACTGTGGCATCTTCTTTTCCAGGTTCCTTTTCTCAGTCTATATTGACACAACCACCCTCCATCTCTGAGTCTCTTGGATCAACAGCCAGACTCACTTGCACCTTGAGGAGTGGCATCAGTGTTGGTGGTAAAAATATTTACTGGTACCAGCAGATGGAGGGGAGCGCTCCTCGGTTGTTCCTGTACTACTACTCAGACTCAGACAAGAAGCTGGGGCCTGGAGTCCCCAACAGAGTCTCTGGTTCCAAAGATACCTCCAAAAATACTGCAAATTTGCAGATATCTGAGCTACAGGTGGAGGATGAGGCTGTGTATTACTGTTTCATCTCAGAAAGCAGTGCTTATCACAGTGACACAGGCAGATGGGGAAGTAGGCATAAATTGTAGCTTGTAATAAATATATCAGTTCCGTTTTTTGTTACATTATAATATTCTTCACCATAGAAATAAAAGATAATGAAGAAATTAATATAGAAAGAAAACTTATTCCATGTTTTTGTCAATAATAGAGACAAACAGTGTAAACTACAAAAGAAAAATATCAAACCTATACTCTAGATGACAACAAATGCTGGTGAACTTGAAGCAGAAGAGAAATCTTTATCCACTATTGTTGGGCTTGCAAAGTGTTGTAGCCTCTCTGTATATCAGTGTGGAAAATTCTCAAAAATCTTAAATAAGATATTATATGATTGAGCTATAGCACTCCTTTGTATATGTTGAAAAGAATTGATATCCCACTAAAGATGTTCATGTTCAACCATGTTGATTACCATTCTCTTCACAATATCTAAGAAACTGAAGCAAACTAGTTATCCTTCAACTGCTTAATGGATGATGAAAATGTCATATAATTGTCCAATTCTTTTCAGCTGTAAACAAAATTGCAAACTGCAAACAAACTGGTGGAACTGGAAAAGATTATACTTAGTGAGGTCACCCAGGTCCAGCAAGAAAAATGTCATGTTTCCTTTTATTTTTATATTCTAGAAACAAGTCTTCTTGGTTTGTATTTATAAACTTAAGTAACCATAGAAACCTGGAGTCTCATGGGAGGAGGAGATATAGCTTCAGAGATAGAATTAGCAGGACATGGGTACTATTTAATGGAAAAATAAAAGTAGGGGGGCTTGGATATGGAAGTGTAAGTGAGTACTACAGAAGTAGAGGGAAGGGGAATCAGGAGTGCATAGTGACAGGTAAGGAAGAGGAAGAGTGATGCATAGGGAGAGACAAAGGGGCATAAGAAATACTAAGGATGTTGGGGAAACAATTTCAAAGCTTATTATCTTTTATGTTTGCTTTAAAATACATTGAAACACTCATTGTGTTTAATAAAGTTACCTCACATAGTGGGATAATGCACTCTATGGACCCATAGATTAGCTAAACCCACCCAGTGGCAGCTATGTAAAACATAGCTTAAGTTGTTACCATATTTCAGGAGACCCTGAAAGCAATAGAAGCCAATGCCATTGCTCATTGTTACCTGCTACAACATCAGGGTGAAATCCATTGATGAAGACAACCCACCCGATAGTCGTCGAAGTGTCATTGATCTGTAAGATTCCTCCATGAGGGATAGCCCTCATAAATTTTGAAGGTGCTATGCAATGGGAACATGGTATCAATTGCTCTACCCAGGTGAAATGTTTGAAAACTACACAAAAGGCATAGCAAGCCATCCCTAACAGTGCCATAGAGACACATGCACATTGGGGACAGCCAACATCTACCTAATTAGACCTAAAATAAACTTAACTTTAGGGAACTCATGCATTGCTCCATAAACCTATCTAAGAACCCATGGCTGGACACATTGTAGACCATAGAGGAAAAACTGCTACTCCTACCAAACTACTAAGGTTTTGTGTACTTTTTGAGTCTCCTCATGGCTTCCACAATAGAGTAAATCTGGCTTCGTAGAGGGAGTTTGAGAAAGTTCATTCCATTTCTATTTATTCTGAGAAATTAAGAAATATTAGAAGTAGTCCTTCTAAACTTCTTTGGATTTCTGGTGTGGATTCATCTGCATCCAAGGAATTTAGAGTTTTAAGAATTTTTTGATGCTGTTTCAATCTCCTCCTAAATTCAAAAGGCTTATTTAAAATTGGATCCCTTCTTGATTTAATTACTTTGATCCAGTTCTATCTAGAATTTTATAAATTACTATTTAGTTTTCTAGTTAGCAGAGTTCAGATCTCTTTTCTTTAACCTTGTGTTTTTTAATTTAAAATTTTTTATGTAAATTGAAAACAATCTTACTTTACATACCAATCCCAGTTCCCTCTTCCTCCTGTCTTCTCACTTCCTTCAACATATACCCATCCCACCCTACATCCACTCCTCAGAGATGGTGAGGCCTCCCATGAGGGATCATCAAAGTCTCTCACATCATTTGTGGCAGAGCCGAGTCCCCATTCTTGCATCCAGGAGGAGAAAGTATCCCTCCATAGAGAATGGGCTCCAACAAATGAGTTCATGCACTAGGGATAAATTCTGGTTCCACTGCCAACTGCCCCATAACCTGCCAAAGCACCCAACAGACACCCACATACAGGGGGCCTAGTTTGGTCTTATTCAAGTTTCCCAACTGTCAGTCTGGAGTCAGTGAGCTCCCACTTGCTCAGGTAGGCTTATTCTGTGGGTTTTGCCTACAATGTCTTGACTGTTTTGTCCATCACTTCTCCCTATCTACAACTGGACTCCAGGAATTTGGCTCATTGCTTACGTTTGAATCTCTGCTTCTGTTTCCATCAGCTACTGGTTGAAGGCTCTATGATGGCATTTAAAGTAGTCATCAATCTCATTATAGGGGAAGGACATTTAAGATAGCTTCTCTACTATAGCTTAGATACTTATTTGGAGTTATCCATGTGGATTCCTGGGAATTTCCCTATTGTCAGGTTTCTTCTTGAATCCATAATGGCTCCCTATATCTAGCTATCTCTTTGCGATAACCCTGTGTTAAAAATATTTCTTGATATTTTAATTTCATCATTTTGCTTTTCCTTTCCTCTTCTAAACCCTCCCACATACCCAGCCTTGCTCTCTTTCAAGCCATGTCCTATTTTCTTATTGTTACATTAATACTTGCATCTACATATATTTGCCTATGTACATTATATACAACCTGACCAGTCTATATAATATTTCTTGCTTACATGTTTTCAGGCTTGAACATTTGATATTAGACAACAAATTAGCACGTTCTTCCATGGAAAGGACTATCTCTCCTACTCCCTCCATTCTTTGGTTGATTTAGTTCTTCATTGGGGTTTGAGATCTTGAACATTGCCAAATCCAGACCTTTTAGTGAGTCTTTATGGGAATTGCTTCTGATATTTGTAGGAGACACAATCTCACAGCAAACTCCCTTAGAATCTTTCCACCTCCTTATAGATAATGTTCTGTGAAATGCAATAGTGTTTCGTAGATGTATTCATTGGGACTGGGCTCCATGACTGTGATTGATTGATTGATGTTTTGTGTAGTGATATTCTTCTCTTGCATAGAAAAGTTTCATTGATGAGTGGTGAAGACTACACTTATTTGTGAGTATAAAGACTTATTTATAGATTGGTGCTATGGATAACTTGTTTTAATAAATTAGTAGTTGTAGACTCTCCTCTATTAACCATGATTTCAATAGCAATAAGTACTTAGGTAGATAAATATGGTATGGTAATATATCCTTCTTATTGTGTGGGCCATAATTCCAGTTATGGGGCTGCTGGTTAACACTGATATATGTGTGTCAATAATGTATCCATTGGGTTGCCATACCATGCTGGCTAGACAGAGAAAGACAAAAATGGTATGTACTTACCATACTGACATAAACCAAAGGATAACCATACTACTATCTACAACCCCAGAGAGCCATGAAACAAGGACCCTAAAAGAGACATACCTGCAACCTCCCAAGAATGGGAAATAGACAAGATCTCCTTAGTAAATTGGGAGCATAGGGGAGGTGGGAAAGAGGTAGGAGAGTGGGGAGGGACAAAGGGATGGAGTTAGGAGAACATGAGCGATTGGCAAGGCAGAGTTGGGGGAAGAACAGAGAAAGAGAGCAAGGAAAGAAATACCTTGATAGAGGGAGCCATTGTGTGGTTAATGAGAAACCTGGCACTAGGAAAATTCCCAGGAATCCAAAAGGATGACCACAACAAAGAATCTAAGCGGTAGAGGAGAGGCTACCTTACTGATCAAAATGGGGCAGAGGAGAGTTTGAAATGATCAGGAAAGTGCCTTTTCACCATGTGGCAGTCCTCCTGACCAATAAAAAATGTTGCTTTTGTTTTTCAAAACAACACTGTCTCTCCCTGCCAGACAGAATTTACAATAATTTTCAGTGTAAGTTTATCAGTCAAGATTTTGGGGTAAGAAGATCCAAGGCAAGTAACTCTTTAAAACAATGATGTAAGAGAGTTTGAAAGGGCAGGATTGACTAGTTTCTCAACTGTGGATGAAGAAATATTTCCCAAGTAATTCCCAAATGTGATATGTATTTAAAAATATCCATCTAATGATTTAGGAATAGATAAGTTAACAGAAAAAATCTTTGCAATGTACTTTAATCATTCCCTCAATATTGGAAGTGAGATGAAGATACCACTGATCTAGAAGGACTGGATGTCGTCTTTTAGAACTCTGAGATCAGGTTGATCACTGTTCACTTAATGATGAATCATCTCAAAGTCTCTAAGTGTAGTGCTGGATACTTTATAGCAATTAGCCATACTGATAGCACAATCTCTATTTATTTTTATGTGGTTATTATCTTCATGCCAGTCTTAGGAAAAATTGCTTAACAGGTAAAGTTTATATTTCAGATTCATTCTCTACTTTCAGGATGCTCATCCAGCAACTGTCTCCTACATGCCTGAGTTAGTTTAGCTTTCTTTTAATGTTTCACTTTTTCCTCACTCAAGTTTTTTTTCTTCTCTGAACAACTCTGTGAAGATTATATATTGAGGTTTGTGCATCAAAACTGCCCTGTGACTTTCTTTCCCAAGACCTTAAACAATCCAGCAGACCTCATCATGAAAAATACATAAATGTAGTTTTTTAATGACAGTTACCTTTCAGTTCAGTGAGAATTGTTTTGCTATGATTTCAAAGCAACTCTTTAATCAAGCTACTCTATATAAATTATTTCATTTTTCTAAAGGAATAGAAATTCCCTAATATATTTGTGCAGAAGATTAAAAGATTAATGAGATATAAATAATGACTGCTTAAAAGTTTTCTTTGTGTTCAAATAAGCAGAAAGCTGTTCTTATTTGCAAAAGAAGAAACAAAATAAGTATATGATTTCTTAAATGTTCTAAATTGCACAAGTTCATAGAGCATTCTTTTTTTTTTTTTTGCTTTGGGTTTTT